AACCCTAACCCTAACCCTAACCCTAACCCTAACCCTAACCCTAACCCTAACCCTAACCCTAACCCTAACCCTAACCCTAACCCTAACCCTAACCCCCTTGTAACCCTAAACCTAACCCCAAAAAAAAAACGCATCTAACCTAACAACCAATGCATCTAACCAACAATTTACACCTTCATCATGCTCCTACTCCTTCAATCTACTTTGCTGCATGCCCTACACACTCCCTTCTTACCCCTTTTCTCTCCAAAATGCCCCACTGTTCTCCCAAACCATACCCTTCACCTCCTTCTTCCATCCTCACCCACTGCTCTTATTTACTTGCACTAACACACTCTTATTTACTTGCACTAACACACTCTTATTTACTTGCACTAACACGCTCTTATTTACTTGCACTAATGCACTCTCCTTTGCCAACTTAACCCCTCTTCTTGCTTGCTCATTCTCAATTGCTCTATGCTTGCTTCAAACACCTCTCATTTACTGACTCTCAATTGCCCCAACCCAACTCTCATTTACTTGCACTAACACCTCCTCCCTTGCTCATCCATTGCCCACCTTCACCACCATCTCTGCTCTGCCCTGCATCTCCCTCCCCACACCCTCATTTACTTGCACTAACTGCCCACCTTCACTTTGATGCACAATTTCTCATTGCTTGACTGCTCTACTCTTTCATTTGCTGACCTCTCTCACAATCATTCCCCTTGTCAACTGATTGACTCTCTCTCCTCACAGCTCTCTCCTCACAGCTCTGTCATTTACATGCACTAACATTCTATTGCTTCCTTGTTGCTTCTGTGTCACTCTCTGATTAACATGCACTAGCATCACATGACCTGTGCAATGCTTGCCTGTTATGCTCCTTCAATCATGTGCTCTTGCATCCTGCCTGTCATGCTCTCTCATAACAAGCACTAGCATGTTTTGCTGCATGAAGCACTCTCACTTTGCCCACTGACTGCTTCCACACAAGCACGCCTTTGCTTCTGCTTGGTGTTCCCTGCACAGCACTCTCATCTTGCCCACTACTTGCCCACACATACTGATCTGCTTTTTGCGCGCTTGACACACAAGCCCACAGCTCTCTCATTTACACCCACTAACATCCTCCCATTTGCATACTGCCGTACTCACTGCCCATTGCTCACCTGTTGTACATTTTGGTGTGCGCACAGCACATTTACCTCCTCTTGGTGCAGCCCTTGCACCTCGCATCTTGCCCCGTCATCGCCCTCATCTGTTTGATTATTGTGTGCCTGTCAAGTTTCTCTCTCATTGATGCGCACTAACACTCAATACCCTTTGAATCGATTGCTTTTCACTCTCTTGAATTGACACACACAAGCCACGTGTTCCAAAACTTGCTGTGCTTCTTGATTACTGCGCTCTGCGCCCCTGACCGCTCTGTCACTGACGTGCAGTCATATACTCCCCATGTGAACACAGCTTTCTTTCTGCCAATAGCTGTCTAGCTCTTGTGGTTCAGAGCCTGTCTGTCGATCTCTGTTGTTGGAGGCGCGCTTGTTTGTGCCACAAACCTGCCGGCGCGCTTTTGCGGCGCGAGGTTCCGAGCACGAATCATCAGCAAGCCATGTAGCATCTCATGCATTGGCAAGCGGGAAAGGTATATATGCGGGTCGGATCGAAAAACTTGGGCCAGTGCGATCCCGAAAATACATGCTGCACAGCTGTCAGGACAATTAGCGAATACACGATACATCATCAAAGCAAAGCGGGGCTGCAGACATTGGGGCATGATTGCTATGCGCCCGGAGCGATGGCACCGTTCGAGAGCTGCAGCGCAAGCTTAGAAGAGGAGAGAATGTCGTAGTGACCCGTTCCTTCTACGTAGACGATGTGTGGAGAGAGGCCGAGATGCTTGCTGATGCCAAAGTCTGCATACTCCTCCTCGAACGGGTCGAATGCTGGTCCCTGGCCTCGAAGCAGACCTCTTTCTGCGACAAATAGCACGACCGGTGTACTGATCTGACCCAGCCACTTGAACAAGGGCGCAAAGTCGATCGGCTGGTCGTCCACTGCTTCCTGAAGGGCTGAGGAAGCATCCCTATTTGTAGCAAAGCGCGCCGCAGCCTTGTACACCATTTCCGAACTTTGAGCGAGTCGCTGGCAAAAGGTGTTTAGAAACGCGTCATCCTTTAGATCGATATTCACGCTGGCAGGGGCAACGGAAGGGGCTTGCGAGGTCGGCGTCGTCGCAGGTGATGTCCACTGTTGTCGACGGCGCGCTGCTAGCGCCCAGAGAGCAGAGGCAAACTTTTTGCCGCTGCCGTCCGCACCGGGGTCGAGCTCGCTGCACCTCGCCACGGTTTCGAGTGCACGAACAACATGTTCCTCTCGTTTCATGCTTGCTTGCGTTGTCGACATGACGAGATGAGGACACGCAAGCAGCGTCGGCGAATTATCTATCAGAGCGAGTTGTCCCAGAGGTGAGCCTCGTGCTTCCAAAAGTCGGGCCATGCAGAGCGCGATTGCTGAAGAGGCGGAGAAGCCAGCGATGCGCCATGGAGCTTGGTGAAAGGACAATTCATGATCGGCATCCAGCAGTGAGATGTAGCATCGTGCGACTTCGAGCAGATCCTCGTCGTAAGGAACCTCTTCGGTGACTTGTATTGCCCAAAGAGGCGCCTGAAGGTCCAAAGGCAGACGGTGAAACAGTTGAACACCTCCGCCTCCATCATGGAGGAGAACGATTGGAGATCCTTCCCCATCTCGAAGCTTCACAAGTGCGTTGAGGCTGTTCGAGCCCGCGCCTTGCAGCTCCTCGACGCGAGTTTCGGTAGTGACGTCAACTCCTCTTGCTTCATGTCCGACCCCGTCCACGTCTGGAGCTCCTGCCGCGGCAATTTTCGCAGCCTGCAAGCTTTCCAGCATCTCGACGAGGCCCTCTATCGAAAGACCTCCAAGTAGTTGTATTTGTGAGACCTGGACGCCCGTGTTTGCCTTGATGGCAGAAGAAAGCCGCGTCGCAGCCAAGGAATCAAGACCATAGGCCGCAAAGGGCAGCGAGGGATCTATTTCCTCGTCGCTACCTAGAGCGTCTGCTATCAGCGGTGCAATGTCTAATCTACTCTTGCCATCCCCATTCCCATGCAGATCCGAAGTGCCTGCGATCGCGTCACGACCCATGATTGCGCGACACCGAAGAGGTAGGCGTGATCCAGACTTGGCCAAAGCAGAGCGCGTCGCTGGCCAAGCGATGTCGGGAATGTACAAATCGACGTTGCGCTTCCTGGAGCGTTTGACAGCGTCGCCAAAGCTTTGAAAGAAGGCTACAATAGACGAGATTCGTGTCAGCATCTACCTGTGGCTAGTGAAAGCAACGGCGGACCGCCTCACCTTCGGCCGTCATGCTCAAGCTAAGCAAGTCAGCTAGTCTCGAGCTCTTTCCCACGTGACGAGCAAGGACTCCGACGTCCGAAATGCCTGGAACGGCAATCGCAAACGCTGAGCGATGCCTGCGCACAAAAGCCTCTCCAGCCACATTGGCACTGCGAGGGTGAACAAGGGTCATCAGTCGATCGCCCATGCAGACTCCACTTGCGAGATAAAGAGGCTTACTCACGCAACGTAATTGCTCTGACCCGGATTGCCGATTAGAGCAGCAACCGAAGAGAAAAAGGCAACGAAATCTACCTTTCCCAGATCACAGATCTTTTCCAAGTTCAAAAGCGGCCTCAACTTAATCTTGAACATGTTTTGAAAAGACTCTGAGGTCTGAGACTCAAAGAGTGCATCGTTCAAGACCACTGGCATGACGACGACGCCGCCAATGGTTATGCCTTCCGAGGTGATTGAAGATATTGCCGAACGCATTGCTGTCTCGTCCGTTGCGTCCGAGGCTACGACGTCGATGCGGGTGCCTTGTTCAGAGCGCATGGCACCGAGGGTGCGCCTCGCGCGGACGTTCTCGTCGTCCGTCGAGCGGAAATACTCATGGCCAGAGCGCGAGGTGAGGAGGATGTGCTTTGCCCCTTGCCTCACCATCCAAGCGGCCAGCTCAACACCGAGACCGCCAACTCCTCCAATCAGGACGTATGCTTTCGAGGCATCGAACAGGCCTTCCCCAGAGAGTTGGTGCCCAGCGTCCAAGTGGCCAAGGACACCCGAGGGAACAGGCAGAGTACCTGTCGGTAGCCACCCGTGGCGAGCCACAAAGTCAGCGAGGGTAGCGTGTACCATTGGCGAGCGGGCGAAAAGGTCGAAAGCGAGGCCAGCATCTCGCTCGTTCCAGGGGTAGATGGTTGCACCTCTCGAAAGCAGAACCTCTTCCGCAATCTGGCTAAGCTCTCTGGTCATCGACCCAGCAAGGATTATGTCGAAGGTTGCACCGTCCACTTCGCTGCTGATCTCCCACACTAGAGCCACCTCGTCAGCGTGCGCGGGAATCGCGCGCACGTGTGTTTGGTTTTCATCGCATGCCATCCGGAGAGCCCACTTCGCACCGAGAGCCTCCGGCGATCCATCGTCGAGTAGCAGAACGCGGGGTCCTTGACTTGGCAGTGTCAATCCACCCGTCCACGCATGCATCGTGCGAGCAACAGACGCTATTCCGATCACTGCGCGGCTTTTCGCAATGGAGTCGTCAAAGACGACATGGTCTTCATGGCTCGACGCCGCGCTGTAGTGAGCAGGAACGTGGCCGTCGTCGCGCAAAAGAGTAAGACGCCGGTCCATCCACACTGGTTTGACCGCGGGTGAGCGCACAGTGCTCGTCGCGATCGACGCAGTGCGAAGTCTTCCCGGTAAGGGTGTCGGATTAGCGACGAGAGCCGGAACGTGTGCTACTCCGTCCGCATCGAGCTGAACCTCGGTGCCGCTGGTTGCATCCGCAGCGAGGCGCTGCAGAGCATCCTTGCTAGCGTGTTCGGTCCACTCTGACGGCATCTGCGTCACTGAGAGGTGGATATCGGGCCGTTCGGCGCGCAGACACCTGGCGATACCGATAGCTGCACCAAAGTCGAGTACGTTGGTGGTAGTAATCCATAATGGCGACGTCCTGGAAGTTTCGAGCGATTCCAACTTGCGCCTTAACGCCAGTTCCTCGCCCATACTGTAGGCGTACGAGTCCACCTGCGCAAGAGACTGGGGAATGTCTGACTTTTGTGCGATATGCAACTGATACGGGGTGTTGCGAGACGGAGTTCCTATGCGCGCATCCAGTATAGTGGATTTCGTGTAGCCTTCGACGTCTTCGAGCAAGCTTGGCACGCCCTGACCCGCCAGCGGCAGCGGAGAAACGCCGTCCGGGGAGCGCGACGGAGCCTGGCAAGAAAGGACAGCGGAAAGCACGTCCCGAAATACGCTACCCGGAGCATTCGGCTTGATGGTGCCCCCCCGAGCTGGATCGGGAGCCAGCAGGACGAGATGCCCTCCGGGAGCCAGCAAGAGCCGGAGGTTTTTTAGCGCAGAAAGTTCCAACAAGCGGCTTTCCATTGATCCTCCGCTGAGAGCCGCAGGTTCAAAGCCAACCACAATGTCAAAGGATCCTGGCTCGAGCTGTGGCTGTTCAAAGACTGGCAGGAACGGGTTAAACGGCGAGGCGACAGCATGCTCCCAGGTGGTTGCGGAATGGGTTGTAGAAGCGCGCTGTGCAGACTCGTCTGTAATGGTCAGTGCGACGACGGACGCAGAGGATGGCTGACGTCTCGTTAGCAATTTGCACAACGGCAACGTCAGCTCTCCGTTGTTGCAGCCAATCTCTAGAATACGGATCGAGCGCCGCCCGGCAGCTTCAAACTGATCTAGCAGGTCTTCTAGGCAGCGCTGTACATCTTCTACGCTGGCCTCTTCCGCTTCTGCCGCGAGATGCCTACGTATGACGGGATGAGAAAGATATGTCTGGAAAGATCGCTGGTCACGTTGGGCAGAGGACATGTTCAGAGTCAGTATCTACAGAACAGGACCACAAAGCGCAATCTGAGCTCACCTCGCCATCTTCGTGCGAATCCACGAAGTGTTCTAGAAGCTCGAGTGCGTCTGCGTGTACATAGTACCGACTACTGAGATTCGCTTCGAGTGTCTGAGTGATTCCAAGCGTCGGAGTGAGGGTGGCCGTATGAGTCGCCTCCAACAAGACAGAGGCGCGGACACCAAGTTTAAACTAGCGAGTACGAAGGTGTGTGGTTGGTCTTTAGTGGCTGCGCGCAGATCAACTTAGAGGACAGGCCTACTCACCAGCTCATCGGGCGTTCTGCGCCCCAAAATCCTCCGACCAACGCTGCGCGCCTTGTTATCCAGCATGGCAGCTTCTTCCTCCGACAGACCCCGAGTCGATGTAGGCAAGCGAAACACAATCTCTTCCTTGCGCTCTGTATTTGTTCGCTTTGGAGCAGATGCTAGCGGCATCCATACCATTTCATGAGCATGTTCCGGACTTCCTGAAACTGCGCTATGACGCGCCAACTTGAGGCCTTCGAAGGTGATCAAAGGCGTACCATCGAGAGCCAGAATGCAAAGGTCCGCAATAAAGTGATCCAGACGCCAGCTCACCAAATGCGACCAACTCGCGACATCCGATCGCATGTCCCTCTGGCCCTCCGAATAGGCAGGATGCAGCAACACGCGTTCAACAGATGATGGAAGGTAATAAGCAGAAGGCGGACTGGCCAGCCCATTCTTGCCGACGACGAAATGCAGGAGCGGATGAAGGGCGCAATCCACCACAGCTGGACTCGTGACGTAGCCATCCTGCATCACCTCTTCGTCCTCGGCACCGCCAATCACCGCAAGAACATCATCATTGCCGACCCAAAGCTCCTGTATGCGCCTGAAGCGTGGACCGTAGCTCATGGTGTGGTTCCATCCTCGCTCATATAGCGCCTTGATATCACCGACATCAAGAGTCGAGCGAAGAGCCTGCAGGTCCACCTTCTCTACCATAGCGCCTCCACTCGACGTGTGCGGCGCGCGTGATAGGAAACCTTGTGCATGCACGACGTTGAATGGACCACCTTGCAGGGCGTCCCACTCGGATCCAGCGTCTAGTCGATGGCCTAATGCGGGGCGCTGAGTTCTAACAGCCCACCTGGCCCCATCCAAGCTGACTTCGATCGTGGCGGGTCGATCTCGTGGAATGCTGAGCATGGACGCAAAGGAGCATCGATACAACGTGTTCGCTCCGAACTCCAAAGCCATTTCGAGAAACGCGGCTGCCGGAACGATTGGCTCTCCTTGGACTACGTGTTCCGCCAACAGCGGATGGGTCGTTCTGCTCATCCGCAAGCGAGGATGGCAGAGCGGTCCCTGACTCTGGAACAGCTTGCGACGCTGCGAAGCGTGTTCAGCATAGATCGGAAAGGCTTGTCGTTCGAATGGGTAGGGCAGGGTCGGAAACACGTCTCGGCCTCTGGTGGCGGAAATACCCCACGTCAGATGCTCGGTTCGGAGGCTGCCATGCCCCTGAGTGCAAAGTCTGCCGATCGAGTCCATGAATGTCTTCACCTCGAGGGAACGGCCCTGCTTGTCGGGCCGGCGCGCACTTGCCAGTGTCGCAGATCCTGCTGCAGACTCTGCAATGTAGGGAAGCAGGACTGGATGTGCGCTGACCTCGAAGAACGTTGCGCCTGGATGCATCCGACCGATTGCGGAGATGGCTTGGTGGAATTGAACGGGCTGCCGAATGTTTTGCCACAGATACTCTACGCTAAAGCTGTCCAGCATCGGCGAAGCAGTGACGGAGGAGAAGGTCTTGATCTGCGGGCGCCGGAAACAGGCAGCTTCATTCGCAAAGAGAGCTCGAGCTTCAGCCAAGAATTCGTCTTTGCAGATTTCCATCCAGGACGAATGAGAAGGCACTTTGGTGCGCAGGACATTGGTTCGAATACTTCGCCTTGCTGCCTCTTGCGCCACAAGTTCCAGCGCGACCCGAGGCCCAGAGAGCGCTACGGCTGTGGCAGAGTTGTAGGCGGCGACGCTGAGTCCCACGCTTTCGCTTTGGCCTTTGGGGGAACCCGATACAGCTTCGACGAGCCCCAAAGCAGTCCTCTCATCGCAAGCTAGCGCTAACATACCAGCGCCGAGCGTTTCTGCGGCGGACATGTGGCGCCCTCTGAGCACTGCAACCTGCATGGCCAGATGCCGCGTCGCGGAGCCAGAGGCGTACAGCACAGCTGCTTCTCCTGCCGAGTGTCCGACCACAACGTCGGGCTGTCTGCCCAAAATGGCGACCAGAGTGTCGAAGAGTGCGCATTGAAAGAGAGTCAGGGAAGGGAAGATTAGGCGGGCTGGCCATTCGAGTGCGGCAAGCTGCTCCGCCTTGGCGCTTTGCCGCGAATCGAAAAGGCCGACATCGTGAATCAGGGAGATGCCTGTCATTGAGCGGTGCACCTCGTCGAGCTCGAAAGCAGTTTCGCGGAACTGCCTGAATCGCCTGAACAGATCGTAGCCCATGCGCCAATGTTGAGGACCCTGACCTGAAAAGACTAGAACAAGAGGAGCAGGGATTCGAGGCACCAGAACAGGCTCCGGCATGGACACTTTCCAGTCGCCTGAGCAAAGATCCGCCAGCTGTACGACTTTGCTCGCCCTCCATGTACATTGCCGCGCTTGCCGAGCTAATCTTGTCGTCAGAGAGCTCACATCTTTCCACGGCAGCATGTCTCGCGTGCTGGCAGCGCTCGCTTCGCTCAGCTGCTCCTTGAGCCCCGCGATGATCTTGTGAAAAGCCTTGGGTGAGAGAGCACCCAATATCAGCAAGACTGGCTCCTCCATAATCTCGTCCCGAGCTGCCGCGAGCGCTTCGCTCTCTTCTTGGAAGCCCTGTGCATGACCTTGCACAACCACATGGCCATTCGTGCCTCCAATACCAAAGCTAGAAAGCGAAATGAGCGGCTGTTCGCCACCTTCGAGCTGCTCGTTTGGCACAGCAAGCCGCATGTTGTGTCTCCGCCAGTCGATGCGCGGGTTCAGCCTCTTCAGATTGGCCTGAGGTGGAATGACGCGGTCTCTTAGCATGTAGATGCACTTGAGCAGCGACGCCAAGAATGCCGTGTTCTCCAAATGTCTGACGCGCAGTCGTGGCCCGGCGCGGTAAGAAGCGCAGATCAGCAGAAGACGAAGGATGTTTCTGTGGATGGAAAGCGCCCGCGACTCACCCCATGTTCCCCTTGACACTGCCAAGCACCAGCGGTCTTCCCATCCTATTTCTTCCCAACATTTCTCCCACGGCATTCGCTTCGATCGGATCGCCCACAGCTGTGCCCGTCGCGTGCAGCTCTGCGTAATCACACTCGGCCGGATCGCGACCAGCTTGCAAGTATGCTCGCTCTATCGCTGCCTTCTGATGAGCTGCAGAGGGGGCGTTGACTGTGACTGCAGCCCCATTGGTGGTCAATGCGCTTCCAAGGATTTGGGCATAGACGTGATCGCCGTCCCTGATTGCTGCAGACAAGGGCTTCAGACAGACAACTGCTGCTCCATCAGATTTGCCAAAGCCGTCTGCATCTGCATCGAATGGCTTGCACATGCCGTCCGGCGACAGCACTTGCGCTTGCGTGAGCTGTATGAACTCCTCGATCCTACGGCGCCGGGATAAGAAAGGAGGCGCACGGGCACATAAGAGTGCCGTCTCGAGCAGGGTCAGCGGTGCCTCTTCAATGCGAGATCGGATGCTAAAGAGGCACGCACCGAGAGTTGAATTGACAGCCAGCAACCAGTGCGCTCTCGCAATCGCCAGAGCGCAAACCCTGCACAGCCAGGTGCAGGGCCGTGAGTGTGCTGGAGCAGGCATTGTCGATGGGAATGGACGGGCCATGCAGGTCGAGTGCCAAGGAGATCCTATTCGCGATAGCATTCGGGTAGCCAGCAACGCTTCCGGCAGCATCGAATTCGTCGTGGTCAGAATTGGCGAGAATGTCGTAGGTGACGCCAGCGGCGTACACGCCCACCGGTCTTGCACGATGCTCGATGCCAGCATCCTGCAGCGCGACGTGACTGAGCTCGATGAGCTTGCGCGTGCTGACCGTCATCGCCCTGGCATCGGCAGGAGATACGTGAAATTGGACGGCATCGAACATCTCGGCATGCTTCATGATGCAAGCCGTCGATGTGATGACCTTGCCAGGTCCCTTGCCATGCCATTCCGAGGCGTTGAAGCGCGCATTTGGGATATCCTCGTAGGCAGTCTTGCCTTCGCGCAGGAAGCTCCAATAAGCGTTTGCATCCAGATTTCGGTCAGAGTGCCTGCCGGAGGGGAACTCGCATGCAATGCCTACCTGCAAGCGATCAGCAACGTGTCTGTCAGCATGCCCGCGCGACGACCATGCACATGCCACGCAACAGCAAGGGAACAGCAATGGCGCAGGCAAACTCACAATGGCGATCGCCTCTTGCTGTGTCGTGCAAGTGTCCATGATTGCCACGAAAGCAACGGTCAATGAGGCGCAAGGAACACGCGCCAGCGCGCGTTACGTGCTGCTCTCGAGGTGCGCCGGGGGGCTGTTGGCGTGCTAACGGTGTGCAGAGCAAGAGTGTGAGCAGCCAGCAGACGCAGAGGCAAGCATTTCCATGATCGAACAACGCTGTGTCAGTCGGCGGAAATGTGTAGCAAGCAAGGTCAAGGTCAAGGCGAAGGCGGCGGCGGCGGGTGTCGTGTCATGTGGCAAAAGTTGCGAGCGCCAAAATGAGGGTGTGTCAAGATGAGCAGAAGATCCGTCCGCACTTGGCAATCGCGAATCAGAAGCGATGACCGCGCTGACTGAGACCCGAGCGGCGGGACCTGACGACCCGCCTTTGCGGGGATCAGAGCCGAACATTCGTGATTCGTGCTTTCCCAGCAGCGGCAACAATTCTAACTCGTCACTCCTGGCATCAGCAACGCACCGCACCGCTCTTTGGAGAATCACGATTCGCCCTGGCGCTTTTTGTGTGCCTGATGACGGTCTCTAATGCATGGCTGCATGCTTGGAAACGCATCAGTCAGCGATCCCCGCCATACGACTTAATAGACTCTGTGGGGCCCGCTTGTCGTGAGCAGCAGAGACAAGGCTGAAACGCGTGTGCCGAGTCTCTGGTTCATTCATATTCTGATTCACGATTCGTCATTATTAATGTACAGCCCGAGTCAGAGCAGCAGCATGCACACACGCATGCACGGACGGCTCATTTAGCACACGCGAATGCAAGGATCGGAGGTTCAATGCAGCTGACTCATGTCGTGCTGTGCGTGGGCGGCAGGCCCCTGTGCTACCACCGGGAGCTTTGTGCGCTTCCGAGATCTCGAGTAGCATGGGTCACCGTTTGCAGTACTGTATACCACCAGGATCAGCAGTCATGCAGCTCATCGCTGGCCAGCGGCACGACTGAACACTCCGCTTACATTCCCTACAAACTGACGAGGTGCCTGTCTTCTGCAAAGCAAGTCTCGATCGATGCATTTGCCCGCGTCGGTCAGCGCCTGCTTGCAGCCGCGGGCCTCTCATGCATGCATGCACACCCAGCTTTCAAGCGCCCGCGGAGAATTCGGAACCGCTTGCGGGAAAGATCGAAATCGGAGAGGAGGAGCAATACCACGGCAGCGGTCACCATGTCTTCACGATCATTGACGAATGTGCGAGCAGCAAGCGAAGCTTGTCGAGCAACCCGGCCAGGTGACGGTGAGCCGGCGTTCAGTCCGGGAAAGAATCACGAATGCTTCGAGAGCGAACGTGCGGTGGCTGATCACACACGACGAGTGTTCGTAGCTTTTCATGCTTGGATCGTGCGTGCCTGTTCCTGCCCGAGCGCCTTCTCGCTTCGACCGCTGCGCCCAACTTTCCCGATTACGATTGAGGGCAGGAGGCTTGCATCTCGTAGAGTGCTCTCTCTGTTCCAGTCCCCTGCAACGGTCGGCGATAACAACGTGGCCTGGGCACATCTTCCACACGGAGTCAGTCTCCGCAGCAGCAGTACCAGCGCGCTTCTTGACGATCTACGACCAGTCGGAGTTTTCGCCGTCATCACCGGCTCTTCAATGATGCGCGGATCGCTCGTTCACTGCTGCACGACGGTCGCTCTGCCCTCGGTGACTGAAGCAGTCGACTGAACCTCAAAGCTGATTTCAGGCGCAATCACTCTCGCTCACGCACCACCCTTCAGCCCACTGTCCAGCTGCAGTCAACACTGTGGCATAGAGTCCTGCCTCGGCTCATATGGGCGCATACATGCTGCGCCAACTCCCATGCACTTGCGCCTGCCCTTGCACGAAGACTTCGAGCAGTCGCGCTCCCATCGCCTGCTGGTGGGTCGCAACTTCTTTAGCTCGGTTCCTGAGGAGCAGGTCAACGGTGAAGGCCTCCTTGGCGCATTTCGGACTCTGTTGGATGTCGCGGTGGCCCATGCATTCTTCCCGCCAGTTGACTCCGAACAGCTTCGAGGGCCTTTCGGCTGGTGCTAGGAAACCTGATGATGCCGTCGAATGGCGCATGGCTGACGCTGATGGGGCAAAAGGGTAGTGCTTGCCCTGGTGCTGAGCCACAATGAGCTTTGACGAGAATACTCGATTTCACTCAAATTCCTGACTCAAGCCTTCAAGAGCATCGCCTAAGTGGGCCCCACGTGACTCGCCCTCTCGCTATGGGCGTCCGATATGCCCGCTTCCTTAAAAACCCCGCACGGGCCTGCACGAAAAAAGCTAAGCGGCGGGAAGATTTAAAGATCTGAGTGCCAGCACTGCCAAGATGTCTCAGCACTCTCAGGCTATCCCGCCGCCTCCACTTGAGCACAACGGGCGGCGGGCATTTGCTCGAGACTCACGACTGTCAGGCGTGTGAAGCACGCCTGACTCGCGCGAAGCTGACTCTAGATCCATGATTGCTTGGGTTCTCATCCTTGATCACAATGTCAGCCTTGACCATTTCTCGGCGCATGCTGAAAGAAGCACCACCTTCACCCGTCATTATCGGTGATGGCATTTTTCCCCACTCAAGAGCTGGCTTTCGAGCCCCTCTTGCAGCCCATAGAGCTGGGCCCGCACGCAGCAGCGGCCTCCACGTCCACACCCACATCCTCAGCTCGACTCTCGGCGTATCCTACCCCATCCCCACCTCGCAGCCTACCGACAGGATTGATTACAAATCACTACTTTCTGGGTAGCACATCGCGACGCTCACGTCTTGGAGATGGGTCACTGCCATTGTCTCTGTCCCAGCTCCAAAGCTCATGGCCACCAGCTGAACCCGCCAGGCTTCGAGACGCTCCTCCAACCCCAGACGAGGTGGAGCGTCGACCGAGCAGGTACACCGCATTCACGGCTGCCAAAGCCAGTGACACTGTGCCCGATGCTTCTGTCTGCCCGCCTTTGATAGCTGTCTCGCGCTTTGTTCCAAATCGGACTGCTATCGGATCGTCGTCAAACCGCGCATCCACCCAGCGCATCACTTTACTTCTCACCCATGGCGCCGGCTTCCACAAAGAGGTGAGTTCTTGGCTCGACACCAAGTAGTCCTCCGCCTTCGGAGCTGCCCTCTCCCACACACTCATACTCTCGATCCTGCGATGTGAAAGCTGTTCGAACCCATGATCGAGCATGTCGTCGAGCTGCTGCGCGCAGGTGGAAATCATTCTATCGAGTTGGAGGAAGCTTGGTGCATCGATATGCCAGGTCACGGCGATTCAAGGGCAGTGAATGGCAGCGGCCCTTGGCTCAGTGAGTTGCGCTTGTTTGATGGAAGCGACGCTGCAGGTGCTGACTTCTGCACGCGGCTCCGAACGTCTCTGTCCAGTCGATGGCAAAGACTATATGCGGGACGTCCTTACCTTTGTTGCTCTGTACCTGCCGTCGCTTCGAAGTGAAGCGAACGAGCACATGCCTACGCTTTTGAAGCCGGACGTCGACGCGATCAAGCTCTTGTCCAATGCGCACAACGGACCGCGAGATGCTCCTCTTGCCCTCTCTACGCGTCCGAACCTCGTTGGTATTGGCCACTCGATCGGCGGAGAGACCATGGTGGGGTTGGCGATGCATGCGCCAAGATTATTCAGCAGCATAGCAGTCATCGAGCCCATCATTCTCGATGCGGCGACCCAGGCATTTGGGACAAGACTGCCACTGGCCAGGTTCGCGCTCAAAAAGGAATGGAGATGGGACAATGTCGAAGAGGCACAAAAGCATTTCTTGGCGCATCCCGTGTATGGACAGTACAGATTTGACGTCAGGGAGAAATTTCTTGTGGGTAGCTACACGCTCGAGCAGCTCACTGCATCGAGCCCACGAGAAGGATGCAAACACGCAGGATAAGTTTGCAGTCCAACCTAGCTCATGCTCTTCTCACGGACCCACGCAGGCGCACGGTGTTACAGCCTCTTCATTTTCGGCGACAAGAAGGGCCGAGAAGGCTGTCATGCTCAAAGCGAGCCCGTACACGGAAGCAGTGAGTCTCGTGGTGGAGAAGGTCGCCTAGCCCGCCATGCACGGCCTTACCAGTGGCCCGATTATCTACCCAAGATTGCATACCTTGACCATCAGACAGTCGTGAGCCTAGCACCTCGAGGCGCCTTCTTCCCTCCTATTCCGTCTCTTTGGATCACAGGATCCCGGCCACTGATGTAGTACGTATGCGCTATGGCTCTCCATTGCAAAACGGTTCCGACGCGCGCTGAACCTCCTTTCCCTTCTGGCCCCTCCTCAAGCTCTGCGAAAGAGGCACCACCACTGGAGACTGTGCATCGCCTTGCTCAGCGCTTCCGAGGAATGCAGGTCGAGGTGCTTCAAGGAGGCCACAATCTGCCCTACGACGACCCCGCGTCGGTGGCAAAGGCGATTTGTAGATTCATTACTGCTTTTACCGGAACCGCATCCAGCGCATCGCACCTCTAATCGCCTCTTCGGATATTCTTCTGTCAACTTACACTCGGTCGGCGAGTGCCTCGCCCAGCTGCGCAAAGCGCCGCACTTGTATGTTCACCTTGACGACTTGATCGCAAGCAAGCAGATGAGTCACACCAAGAGACGGCAGACGCATCTTTAAATGTGGCAGCAGGCACGATGATAGAATACAAGAGATCGAGCAACGCGGGTCGTGGTGATACGTCTGGAATGAGATTATGTTGGGTGTTTGAGCAGCGTGCATCGCGCTTGACAGGGAGGCAGAGAGAAGCGAAAAGCGAGCAAGCGCTGCAAAGGACCAGTGTTAAGTAGGACGAAACGCAATAATTCATCGCATCATTCTCGCGTGGTGAGAATCTCAGTCGTGATGCGCAGCCTTCCGTCATTGTCGCGCGCCGGAACTGACTGCGCGCCCGATCGCGAGGGTTGCGAAGAGTGTCCAGAAGTTTGGCGCTCTCGCTCGTCGCCACCAAAGTTGCGGATGCTGGACGTAGCCGTGCTAGGACGAATATGCCGTGTGGGGGGCGAGTCGGCCGGAACGAAAGTGGGCGTGGTCTCCATGATGAATGAGGGTGCGCCCGCTTCGTCGGTCTTCATCACCTCCACGCTAGCATCTTCCGCGCTCCTGTCCGTCCTCGGTGTCAGGGGGTGACCGTGGTGGAAAGTGGTGTGAGAAGCGTCGCGTCGGTTGAAGAAGCGCAAAGCACCCTCGACTTTGCTGTTGCTACCCCTCCTGTGACCGTCGTATGGCCTGTCGATGAACGGTGCCTCGAATCCTCCACCCTCGACGTACCCGGCAGACGCTTGACTCGCGCGAGGTGCAGCGCGTGCGCCGCCCAACGCGATCGCAATATCGTTCTCCGAGTACGGCTTGCCTGCGGGGCCCAAGCCTCTGTGGTTGATGTCGGTAGAGCGGGGCAAGACGAGCAGACCAGTCTTGCCTCTGTCCATCCAAACGTCCGTGTGCAAGACGATACGAGTAGCGACGACCGAATTGAGCACGAATTGGATAGGGATGGGCACGTTGGCCAGAATGAGGTTCTTGTAGAAAAGGATGGTGAAGAAGCAAGACAAGTTGGCAGTGATGGAGACCAAGAACAGGAAAGTGGTGGTGTCGTGCATGAATCGCTTGGCCTTAGGACTGAATGCGCTGAGGAGGCGCGAAGAGATGAGCATGGTTGACACGACGTACATGATAATGTCGAATCCAGCCGCTGCACCCCAGCCCATCACACGGAACGCGGGTGATGGAAGAGGCTGGCAAACAGGCTGGTAGTGGACCGCCATGGCCGGCTCGACTGGACCAGCCTTGAAGAAGGGAATCGCGGCAATCCAAATGACGCAGGTGACGAAGCCGAGCACGGAAAGAGGGCGCCAAATTTGATTTGATCCGTTGGACAAGCTGCACAACAAGAGAAGCGAGGCAATTGTGAGCAAGGATCCGAATCGTGCCGAAAGCAGTCGCGTCCGACTCACGCATGGACTCGGAGCACGGAGATGATGACGTGGCAGATTTGACCTGGCTGGAAGAAGACGTAGACCAGATTTAGACCAGCTTGGCAGTTCGGCACAGAGTCGCCGAAAAAGACGACGGCTGAAGCGACAAGAGCAGCAATGGTGGAATAGCGGGAGACCAGCAGGCAGATGTTGACGGGCAAGAATTGGCCCTTGAGCAACTCCTTCCATCTCGCCACCTCTTCGTGCAGGGTCACGATCCACTCCCAGAGGTACATGGCGTAGATGGCGATCAAGGCATATCGGAAAACTTCGACGTGATATTCCCTTTGCAGCGTATCGGCGGGAATGTAGTGGCCACTTGGAGAGAGGATCAAGTGGCCTCCATCGACGTATGGTTCGAAAGACATGATGAGCAAGCGATGGGTCGCGGGTATCCGTAGATCGCCAAGTGAATGGCAGAAGGACTTGTAGAGAAACCGGGCAAAGACGAACGTGGAAGCGTCGTGGGAATGAGGCAAGGGAGAGCAAGGCTTACTTTAAGGGAATGCAGGCAGGCAACTGCTGTACTTGCCCTGGATGAGAAGCCGACGCTATCGAATCGGACGATCAGGGCTAGCCTGGGAGGCAGGGCCAAATCGCCCGGCTCTCATCACTGAAGCTGCATGCGCATAAACGAACGATGATGACAGGTGCAGCAACTGTGCTGGTGCAGCATCACAAGGACGTGCGCAGTGTGATCTGGGGCCGACGATTCAGTCATTCTCCTCTTGCCCGGCGCTCCCGCCGGATAAGACTTTGCAAGACGCCGAACTCAACACCCAGACTCAGATCAAACTGTGATCATCCGAGAATCGTTGTGTCGGGCCGGAGCTGAGGTCTGGGATGAGTCGCTACTGCTCGGGTCGACTTTCAAAGTTTGATGACTCTTGGTGACTGTGCAGAATGGCAAGGCGCTTGCGCCGCGTTGCTATTGCAGCTTGCAGGCCTTCCTTCAAGTGCCACAAGTCGCAGGTCCCCTGCGCTTCACTTCGACTGCAGTCCGACATCAGTTTGGACCGACCGCCCAGCAGAGGGCAGAAAAGTTCGAGTCGCTGCAAACGGTTGCAAGCTGGCGTTTCATTGGCCGGAGACTGAGTCGGGTCGGCGCAGCGCTAAAAAGAGCAAGCCGGACAAACCTTTCCTCGGCATCCTCACAAGTAGACAGTCGCAGGCGAGACGTTCCGGCAAAGATGAGGATGAGGGAACGCAAGGAACGTCTACCCACGTCCATGTCCATCCCGCTCCGATCTGGGGGATGACTTTGCGCGCGGTATCACAGCACACAGCTAGCGCCTCGAGGGCGGGACCAAAGCCGCATGAACGAAGCGTGGCGAAAGATTTTCAGGAACGCTATTCATGTCTCTGCTAAGTGCGTAAGGGGAAGTGTCTGTCTGTATGGCCGTCAGCAGCTACACCACTGTGGATTGACTGGAGATGCAATCACAAGTCGGACTGATGAGTGGCGAACTGCCAGTTACTCGAAGACTACTTTGGATGAGGCAAGGCAGAATTGCAGAGCTTGGGCGACGAAAGGTGAGTATTGAGCATCGACTCCACTCGTGCGCGGAGAGACACGCTAAGAGCGCATATACGTACATGCAAGCGCGATTGCGCGTCAGCTGAGCATTTTGGCAGGGGGGCCAAGGGCTACAACTGTGTGCTTTCCTATTTTGTGGCAAGCCTTCGGTGATGAGTCTAATAGCTGTCGTCAATGGAGCGCCGATAAGCCATACATTTATGATTCATGACTCACGAATGTCCGTGCTTGCCCCAAAGGCCTTGCTCCCTGTAGCACTCGCGTTGCTGGTTCACCAATCTCGACGCAACGTAGCACAAGCCTTGGTCTCAGCACCGGCTTGCTCTTGCTGTGCAGGGTTTGTTTTCTTATGGTGGTCTTGGCTTGTTTGCGGACCCACACGGTGCGCGGTCACCAGCAACTGCACGAGGTCCTCGCTTCATGTCTTGCTTTCCAGCTGCGCCGTCCGGCATACGACAGCGGAGTGAGCTGCGAACTACGAAATGCTGCAGTAGCGGAGTTTTAAAGAAAAAAAGTCCCGCTATAATGCGCGCGGATGATGCTGCTGCTGCTGCTGCTGCTTTACTCGCGATTTCTCCGACCTGGTTTCATGCGCGACTTTGCCCACTGCCCTTCTGGCTGCTGGCTCCGCCGTCCATGCAGGATGCGTCTCCCTCACAATCACTGTCTGAACATGCAGCACCCGCTGCACTCCCGAATCACGAATTCATCTCTGCCTGTGTGCAGCTTGGCGTCCGGACCACGCGCGAAGCTGCATTTCGCGACTCGCTTCTCTCAGCAGACGGAGATTCGCCCGACGCATCGCACGAGGCGCGCAAGCACACACATAGATGTCTCTCGGGCGGCAGCAGGGCCGAATGCGGATTCGCCATGCGGCCGTCTTGGGTTTTGGAGCTTCTTAGCGTGCTCGAACTGTTTGGTCGTGCATCGATGGGCGTCGTTTTGCCTTTCCGCTCGGGCCGGGTGATTGCTGACTGGGCTCCTTCTCTGCCGCCCTCAGCTCGGAGGTCGGGGAGCTGCCCCCATCGAGTTCCGAGTTCGTCGAGATGAGTGGATGCACCAAAAGGGACAGAAGAGAGTCGTGAGTCATGGTACAGTCACGAGTGTGATGAGTCGCAAGCGATCGAATGCAAGCCGGCCGGCGGCAACTCGCGCCTGACCTGCGTGATTCGCCTCACATCTTGATACTGATCAGCATTGGAGCACGGCACAGCACGGCGACTTGCCAAATCAGTCCGTGGATGAATCGTGAATGTGACCCGAACCAAGCTGCTTGACATCACCACCTTCGTCCGTTAACGTACCTGCACCTTGACGCTCTCACGAATGCCCATCGCATAAGCGCAGGCGCGCCCCTTGTGTAGCTTGAGGACACCAAACAGCGTTGTCACATCCGGCCACACACCTCGACCTCTCCTTCGTGGACACGTCGAACTTTCGCTCGCCTCGACATCACCATTTGCGCCTTGACACCAAACAATCAACGCCTACACTGCGATATTGAGGCACAATGAGCTACCAGAGGCCGGCTTATGAGGTCCGGCAGGGCGATCACAGCTCTTACCAGATGGAAGAGCGGCATCCAGCATACTCTGAGGCTCACTCTCGTCCCAGCGATGCAACAGCGCTCAAGGGAGATTACAGCGACCCCGTCAGTCCTGATCGAGCCGTCACCACTCCTTCTCCTCCGCCGACTGCCGCTCCTCTCAACCCTGCACCATCATCTGCACCCGCTGGTCCAACCTTTCCGGATGGAGGCTTGGACGCTTGGCTGACCGTCTTGGGGGGCTTCCTCACCTTCTTTGCTGGTCTCGGTTTCATCTCCTCCTACGCTGTATTCCAAGCATACTACGCGCAGAATCAGCTGCAAGGACGAAGTGAGGCTGCCATTGCTTGGATCGGTTCCATTCAGCTGTGGGGCAACTTTGGTTTCGGCTTGCCCGCCGGTATCCTCCTTGACCGCTACGGCCCAAAGGTGAGTGCGCGCGGCAACAGCCAGCAGGTGCGCCATGACATGCCGCTGACGTTCGTCTGCTCGCTTCTTCCAGGTCCCCATGCTCCTCGGCACTGCGCTCATCGTGCTCGGCACCATGACGACTTCGGCTTGCCAGGATCAGCAGTACTATCAGTTCTTCCTCTCGCAGGGCTTGTGCTCCGCCTTTGGCTATGGCTTGGTGTTCAATCCCGCACTCAGTGTGCCCAATCAGTGGTTCCTGAAAAAGAGAGGTCTCGTTGGCGGCCTGGTGGTGGGCGGAACTTCATTCGGTGGTGCGCTCTGGCCAGTGATGCTGAACCGCATGCTCAACTTTGATGGCGTCAGCTTCGGCTGGACGCTGCGAGCCTGCGCTTTCATCCAGCTCGCCCTGCTTCTTACCGCCACCATGCTCATCAAGACTCGCTTCCCGCGCAAGATGATCAAGGGACCGCCTCCACTCAAGGAAATGTTTACCAGTCTGCGCTTCAACACCTTCACCTTTGCTGAGCTGGTCGGCTTCTTTGGTCTCTATTCGCCCTATATCTTCATCTCCGCCTACGGTGTTCATCGAGGAGCCTCGCTTTCCACCTCATTCTACCTCTCCTCGGTTCTCAACGCTACCTCGTTCTTTGGTCGTCTGCTCGTCGGTCTCGGCTCTGACAAGCTCGGCACTTTCAACACCATCACCATCAGCACGGCCATCACTGCTCTCATCGCGTGGACCTGGCCCGCAGCAACCACCAACGCTGGCAACTTTGTCTGGGGCGCATTCTACGGGTTTTGGGCTGGCGCAGTCGTCAGTCTCTTGGCGCCGTGCGTTGCGCGCATCGCTTCCAGCCCGCGTGTCATTGGCCAGTACGTCGGCGTCAATACTACCATCGCCGCGCTCGGCGTGCTTGCTGCAGAACCGGTCGCTGGGCGCCTCATCAGTAACAACAGGGGCGATTTTGATGCCGCGCAATTCTTCATCGCTGCCATGATCACCGCTTGCGCCATCCTCTTTGCCTGCGCCCGTCTCACCATGTCGCGCGACCTGAAGGTGTAATCGAGAAAGGTTGCCGACAAAACATTGCTCGTTCTATCCACCATCTCGCTTCGGCTTCAAAAATGCTGCATTGTCTACCACACATTCACTTAATGCCATGATCTGCTATACCCAAACACCTCGCAGCGTGCGAACACATGTTTGGCGGCAATCCGTCCCCAACGGTCCGTCAAGGTAAGACAAGCTGGCCGCCCATGTGCTGTAGACTTAGCGCGATGCGAGCATTCGTTGCTCGCTGGATGCTTCTGTTCGACTCGTGCGGGAGCCAGACGCTGCATGAAGGTTCTCAATAGTTGCAAGGCTCAGGTAGGCCATCGTCGCGCTACAAGGCCAGGGACATTTTCCATAAAGAGAAGGGTCCGTACCGCTGCCAACACTAAAGGTGGCGCTGCTTTCTAGCCGGCGCCATTCACGAGAACAGGGTGATCCCAGGTGATCGATCGTGATGCTTTCGCCAGTATAGCAAACCTCGGACAGCATTGCTGGCCAGCTCGAGATCTTCAGCAAGCCATTTCTCGAACGGCGGCATCCGACTCGTGTACTCCGAACGCGGGTTGTCCTGCTGAAATGCCGTCTTCTGACGCTCCTCCTCTTCCTTCTTTGCTTGCTCCCGCTCCGCATCACTGGCATCGCCAGGTATCCAGAGCTCGAAGACGTGTACGTCGGGCTCATTCGTCTCGACACAGATTTGTTGAACTCGGGCGGCCGCAGCTCCTAGAGCAGAAGAGGTAGGAGAGTCTGCATCTTGCGAAGTGATCGCAGACGGCACTGTTCCAGTCGTGGCGAGGACTTCGTCGTAGATCTCGAGGCACGGCCATAGCTGCATGCGCAGAGTTTGCAGTTTGTTGCAGCAAGCTTTCGTAGTGGTGTATCCCGCGGTATGAGTGTACTTCTCGCTCTTAGCGCGCAGGTCTAGAGCGAGCCAGATAGGAAGCAGGAGGCGCAGAGCAAAGAGGTGATCGTAGTCGAGTTCCAGTCGCGACAGCCTTCCAACTGTGATTGCAGTCAATAGACTTCTGACTCTTCCTTGCAAGTGTGCTTCCCAGGCTTCTTCTCGGTGATCGTTGATGTCCCATCCTTTATCAAGAAGATTGACGTCGGCCGGGAACACTGGATTTGGCGGCAGGTTTCCTGACATGGAAGCACCTAAAGCTTGGACCTCGTCTTGTGCCTGATTAATTCCTTCCGGTCTTTCATCAGACCTGCGGAGCCAAGACTGCTCACGAAGAACGACAGCATTGGGATTGTAGCTGCTGAAAGACAAGTCCACCAGATTTGGCGCCGACGCGACGTGCCACGTATCCGAGACGAATGGCTCTGAGAATGAGGCACAAAGGGTGTGAAGGGCGCGTTCAGTATGCATCTTCAGTATTTTGACACGCATGATGGACGTGCCGACTCACCAAACGCCATCGCGTCCCAATCCGTCTTGAAGACGCGCAGGCTCGATGATCTGCCTAAGCACAGTGCGGATGCCTCGGGAAGCTGCCACGTCATTGCGTTCCAATCCATCTTCTCGACGTTGGGAAGGGCGCGAAGCACAAGCAAGAGATCTTCCTCGAGTGCTGCTCGACCATAGCCCGCAGGCATGCGCTCCACTCTCGTCCACGCCCACGCGCAGTCCTCGTCTGGATCATTCTCGAGATCAAAGTCGGGTCCGCTTCCCCATCGATAGTCTGTTCGATGGTCCATGTACTCCCAATCGAATCCTTCGTCCGATCCTATTCCTTGCCGCTCCTCGGCTGCTATCGAGGCGGGGCACTCTACCCACATATCGGTCTCGTCACGTTCCGGCTCTTCGATGCCTTGCGCTGCGCGCGCCTCTGTGCGAATCTGGCGCAATGTGAGGTCATCGGCAAAAGATGAGCTCGCCTGCAGTGCTGATGAAGACAGTCTCGCCCTCTCACTTTCTCGCGGTCCTTGAAACTGTAGTCCACTCCCCATCCCATTCGCCTTGGGTGAGACTCTTCTATATCGCCGGTTTTGAAATTCCAGTCCATACACACTTCCCGCACGTGCGTAGCAAGGTCATTCCGCTTTTGGTCATGCAGCAATTTACGCACATGGTGAAGCGACGAGACGTCGCCGCATCCGAGGATGTTCCAGACGTACTTTAGAGCAACAGGCCGCGCGCGCTGACAGACCTGAGAGAGCGAAAGGACGGTGTTCTGTGGCAGCAGACTTTTCTCATAGTATTGCCAGCAGCGCTTGCCCCACTGTGCTTCTGTTAGTACTTGTGTTATGATCGAGCTGCCGGGTGAGACGAGATGCACCGCTCAGTAGCCGCGGCCATAGGTGAGGACCCGGTATTCGCGTAAGACTCACTCGATGAGCTCCTCTGGCAAGCGGTCGAACATTGATGCTCTCAGTACCCAAAAACCTCTCCGTGTGGCTGACCTGAAAGTAATGTCTCGGTGCTGGCGTTTGAGCGAAGTTGACAAGAAAGCCTGGAGTCTTGGGCGATCTGTCAAAGCTGCGAGCTATAAGGCTACGCGAGAGTGGAAGCACGGCTGGAGTTCACCGCAGGATCCGCAGGTATGCTGTAAATGAGTACAGGTCGGCGTGCAAGCTCTTCATTCAAGCTCTTTGTGGACGAGCTGGCACGGCACCGAAAGTCCAAAGGTGATCAGGGATCCAGAGCTTCTTCGTGGTGGTTGAGATGCTGGCCTTGTGCGTGTCAGAGTGTGGATGCAGCTGCTGTGAAGGTACGTGCGCGAGATGTGAGATGAGACCGTCAAAAGGCGCGTAAATAGCAGTCAGTCAGTCGCAGATCGTTGCAAACACTTCAAAAGCTAATCAATCGGTCGCGCCATATGTGTGTTCCGCGATTCGGCGGCGAATCGGGTTTTCGGCGGATCTGCACGCTTGCGCCCCGCATTGGACTTGGCGCTGCAGGTGCGCCTCTATGCATGCAGGAATGATCACGCTGCCCGTATATAGGCTGCTCGCTGTTGCTGCTGCCCTGCGGCGCAATCCGCCCGCGTGAGCAGAGATGTATATAGTAGTGGGAGTGTGAGGCTAATTGGGATTGATGTTTCACGATATTGTGTCTGGAGTCAAATGGGGATCCACCCGTCACCATGCAATTTTGCGCCTTTTCCTGTCCACCGATGGCCCGATGCAAAGACCGCGTGGGAAGCCGCATGGAAAACGACGCTATTACCGCACAGGGACCCTGAATTACTGTTGAAGTTTTTAATTTGATGATCCTTATCGCTGTGTTGATTCTTGATTGCTATCGCTCTTCTTTTTGAGTCATATTTGCTGTGCAACAGAAGGATCCACGATGGCAACTAACATACACCCTTTCCTAAGCGCGACGTGGCGTTGACCCTTATCATGTGGTCTCCAGCAGAGTCACGAGTGCACCTGCCCACAGTCGTCAACTTCCGAGCTGCTGCTGGTCGCTGGAGCAGCAGGGCTGGGTCGGGCTGGCGCGCTAGAGGAGCTCGTGGCATCGGCGCCGATCTTGCATGAATCGACTTGAAACGCTAATTTGGACTTCTGCGAGCTCGGTGTCAAGAGTCCCTTCATGCTTTGATGCTCATACGCCGTTGCTCGCGGGCTCGACTTGCTCAAGTCAACGCCGTGCACCGCGCCGTGGTCGAGACACGGCGTACAAGCGGTAGGGCGGGCATCGCGCGGCTTTGTCGGCGGTGCATGGCTGGCAAGGCTCTGTGGCACGACGTTCAAGGATGCGTTGCGTCGAGCTCGTTGGAAGTGAATCGCTGCGCTGCGCTGCTATCGAGACGATGCGGCTGATGCTGCGCGCGGTCCTTGATCGATTGGATGCCAAGGATGTGGCAGCCATGATACCTGTCATGCGGTCACGCCGCTTCGTCGTCGGAAGACCTGGCGCTTGGTCGGACTGCTTTGCACATACGAACATCTTTGACGACCTTGCGACCATAAAAAGGCACCATTCATTCGCTTACGATGAATGTCGCCTCAACACTGCCCTCTCCTCTTCTGTGCTGCGATCGCCGGTCGGTTGCGCTGCTATTCTACGCCAGACGTAGGCTCTCCCCCCCCCCCCCAAAACGTCTCGGACCCCCTCCCCCCCTTTTCTCATCTTCCCCTGTCTAGCGCTGGCTGCTGGACCAACCCGCGTTCCTTCGCTACTGCCCAACCACAATGACTTCACTGATGGTCATGGCGCGCATCGCTCGCCGCTTCATGCCCGCTTCTTTGGCTTTTCATCTTCTCATCGCAGTCGCAGTCACCCTGCTCAGCGCCGCCCAAGTGTCAAGCGCTCCTATCCCTAGGATCGATCCTGAGAACGACTGGTCCAGCCCGCTTGTCCGTCGCGGTGGTCAGTCCATCATTTGTAAACAGGACGTCCGCAGCCACCGTACCTTCACCGCGGCCAAAGCAGTGGCGAGAACATGGCGATTTCAGAATGATGTTCTCCAGCTAAGTGGTACAGGCGCCGTGTCTGGAGGACCGGATGCGACAGAGTGTGACGTGAGTTTGGCTGTGCATACCATGGAGAACATTTCTGACCCAGATCTTCTCATCGCTCATCTGATAGCACAATGTGGAACTTCAAGAAGTCATTGAATTTCTGAAGCCACACATGGCTCAGTTTTGCGCTCGGCCAGCCTTTGCAGATCGTTCAAGTGATGCGTTCAATAATTTTTTCGGTGCTCTCAACGGAGCGGACAACATGTTCCACTTGCCTCGCTACGTCAATAAAGGCAAAGCCTCTTTGATCGCCGGCGACAACCTCAGATCGCCAAGTTACACCAAGACCGTGAGTCTGACTTCTACCTTCAGCATCGCGGCCGCCGCCTAGAAAGGCGTCCTTTTCGGAAAAAGCTCACTGACCCATTTTTCTTTGCAGGTCCTCTTGGGGATTGAACGATATCTACAAACGGGCGGCGGGACGGTACCGAGCGCGATCGACCAAATTTTCGACGCGATAAACACCATCCTCCCTAATGTATACAAGAAAGAAGAGCTGGTGAAACAAGTCAACGAGGATCGCGCGAATGCTCAAGCCAAAGCTCGGGAGATGGCCAATGCCATGGCACCGACGTCAACATCGCCAGCACCAAAGGATAGCACGTCACCGTCGCCCGGCCCTTCTACGACGACTACCGACTCGACGAACCCGAAACCCCCTGCTCCACCTGGCCCTGCTCCACCTGCCCCGGAGAAACCTGGCCCTGCTTCCCCTGCCCCGGAGAAACCTGCCCCTGCTCCACCTAACCCTCCTGCTCCACAGTCAGGTGTTGTTGGACCCACTAAGCGGCCCCCTCCTGCTCCAGAGCCAGGTGTTCAGCGACCCATCAAGCGACCAAAGATCTAAAGGCAGGTGACAAGCCAGCTTTCCTGGGAGCGCGACGAGGCTCTCAGACGGGACTCTTTGGGAGGTGGTGCTGTATGATGCTCGATGATGATAGTAATGAATCAAGGTCTAGTGTGTGTGTGTGTGTGTGTGTGTGTGTACATGCATATGTATGCACGCATCCGCGCGTGCGCGTCACACGTTGATCTCAGCAGGTGAACAATCGTGATGGTCCCGCCAGTACACCAGGCCTCGCGCAACGTTGGCAGCAAGCTCTTCGTCCTCAGCAAGCCATTTTCTGAAGGGTGGAATTCGCTCTCTGTATTCGGATTGCGGGTTGTCGTCTGCTATGGCAAGCTTTTGCCGATTCTCTTCCGTCTCGATGACCTGACGCCGGTCAGCCTCGCTCGCATCAGATCGGACTCTGTAGTCATAATCAGGAATAAGGAACTGAACATCCGGCACGTTCGTCTTGGCACATTCCCGCTTCACCCAGGTGGCCGCAGCCCTGAGCGCAGCTTCTGGGACATCCATCCTCTTTTCTGCCCCTATGTTCGTCTGGTCCACTTTCTCTTGCTTGATTCCCGCTTGATCCAGTAAATCTAAGCAAGGCCATAGATCTACGCGAAGAGTCCTAAGCCTGATGCAGCATGGCTCGACCACCAGATCGTGCAATGACCCTAGGCTAGGCGCAACCTTGGCAATGACGTCCAGAGCAAGCCATACTGGCAACATCAGTCGCAAACCAAACAGCTGCGCGTCGCTAAGCTCCAAGCTGCAGATGCTACCAACCGCGACGCTTGTCAAGATCGTCTTCGTCCGACCTTGCAGGTGTGGAGCATACCCTTCCTCTTCGTGATCATCGAGAGCCCAGCCTCTCGGCAGCTTATTGATATCTAGAGGGAATATCGGATTCACGGGAAGACTGTTCGACATGCACGCTCCGAATGCTCCCACGTCAAGAGCATGTGCATCGTAGCTTTGCGTCTGACGATTTGTACGCCTTAACCACGATTGATCGCGATGGATGTCGTATCGCACGCTGCTGTGATTGTGTAGCGCGAGCGCTTTAAGATTGGGAGCGGATGCGGCGTGCCACAAGTCAGATAAGTACGGTTCTGCGAGGCGGGGTTCAAACTTCCGGTCAGCTCCCAAAGCGGCAACGATGTGCAGAACAAGTCAAAGGCAGACAGACAGGCTGGACTGACCAAAGCCCGTATGGTCGAAATCTGTTTCGAGGCGATGTAGGAAGCGCTTTTTGCTCAGACATTTAGACGATGTCTCAGGGAGTCGCCAGTGGTCCCCGCCCCAGGAGAAGACCTTGATGTGCGACATGAGGCTCAAAATGAGAAGCAAGTCTGCTTCCAGAGAGGCTCTTCCATACCCTGCAGGCATTTGTTCAACGTTCGTCCACGAGTCCGGAAGCTCCCGCTGATCAGCAGGCATATCGGGCCCGCTGCCCCACTCGTAGTCTTCGGACCAGCTGTACTCCCAATCAATTACTTCGTCCCTATTATCAACGCGCTCTTCAAAATCTGGTGCGGTGGGCGCGTCGGACCACGCGGTTCCATCCGGCGGCTCGACTGTGCATCGCTTCGAGCGCTCCTCACTGCGAATCTGAGAAAGCTGAAAGGTATGTGGGGCGCATTAAGCTCAATTCGCGGCACGCACCTTTTCGCGATCGATGAAGCTGTAGTCCACTCCCCAGCCCAACTTTCGAGGATAGTTTTCTTCAATATCCAACGTCCGGAATTCCCAAGCTATTTGCACATCCAGCATGTACGATGCCAGGTCAAGCCGTTGCTGATCATGTAGCAAGCGACGAAGCGCGTGGACTTTCGAGACCAAATTGCAGTAGACCTCACGCCAAAGGCTTTTCAGGGCGATGGGGCGAGTGGCGCGACATGTCTGAGAAAGAAATAGGACCGTGCTATCCTCCGAACTTCTCGGCTGCCAATAGGCACAGAACAGGTTTGCTTGTCCGCCCTCCATGACATGGTAAATGATGAGCCTGGAAAGATTGTCCTGAGGCTTCATAAGCAAGAGGTGGTCACGTTTCCTCCCAAGTATGCGCCCTCGACTCACGCGATTAGCTCTGGTGGCAAGCGCTGCAGCATTGCGCTCGCGCTGAACGGCTGGCGTATCTGGCACCAGAGGGCCGCACTTGGCTACCAAACGAGAAAACCGCGCTGAAGTGAGGTAAGATGGATTTTGAGTCGAGAGACTCTTTGCAATAGTCTGACCTTCGCTAAGCTCGACTTGATCGCGAGTAGTGTGGCGGTACGTGCTACTCGTAGTCAAGGGGAAGGAGTCACGAGCTGCGAGTCCTTCTAGACATTCACCATTGTGAAACATCAAGTCCTCATACGCGTTGTGCGGCCACGGTGAGCATCGTGCTACGTGCGTACGCTACCGCCATCTGCAGCACGCCGGCGCTATGCGTGAATTTGGCGTAGCTGCTTTGCGTGCGTGCGTGCGTGCGTGCGGCTCAACCGATCAAAGATGGTGGTCCCGCCGCCTGCTGCCGGAGCAGTCACCAGTCAGCAGCAGACGTTGGAGTCCGTGCATGCCGTGTCAGACCCTTGCTTGCTGATGCACGCCCGTTGTCCGCAATCGTGAATGCGATTCGTGATAGTCACGACGTCACGAGTCACTTGCACGATTTGATTGTGACTGCACGCAAGCTGCACCTCATCGCGCGCTCTTTGCGACCTCGTGGTATTTGATGCACTCAGTCTCACTCACTCAAGACTTTCTAACGTGCACACACGGCAAGCGGATACGACAACGGTCGTAGGGCCGAATGCGCCGTCCCAGCAGCCGAGTGGCTACTCGCATTAGCTGGCAGCGGCACCACGGCTCCATGTCAGAGATTCGAGCGAAACCGTGATTGAGAGCATCATCGCCCAACTCGATGCCCTCGATAATGACCCTTCTGAATTACCACTGAGTGCGAGTCTGATCGGAGGCATGTCGGAACCAATTCCAATGCCTTTCAGTGCCCAGGAGGCATCCGTAGCTTGCAGACATACGCTGATTTTTGACTTACGGGTCTAAGTTGAGACCCAGACATCATCCACGACTCATCAAATCACCTATCAGAATCACGTGAATGTGGATCTGTGGTGCCTCTTCACGCTCAAGCGGACTTCTTGACGTTCGACTCGTCACTTTCGACTCACAACCGGAACTCATCAGACTCACGACGAGGATTTCGATTATACAATTAAAGTCCACACGTTGCCTGTGCGCAGCTACCCCAGCCTTTCACAACGCGCTCGCACCATCACATCCGTGATCATTCACGATTCCTTCATTCCCATGCATGCACGCAACATGTGGTCATGAATTTCCGGCAGCGGGTCCGCGCCGAGCACCTCGCGGTTTGCATGCCCGCTTGCAGCCACATCCAGCTGCGCCCAAGGGTGGACCTCGAGGTCCGATTCACGATCACTTCGCTACTGCTACTACTAGGGTGCTACCACCTTTGCAGCCTGCGCCCAAGGGTGAACCTCGAGGTCCGATTCACGATCACTTCGCTACTGCTACTACTAGGGTGCTACCACCTTTGCAGCGCAAGTCACAAACTGGCCCGGCATGATGAAGGCCTTGACGCCATTGGGGAATTGCAACGCTGTCTTTGACCGGCCGCAATAGGCGAAGATGCAGGTGCCCAGCAACTTACCTTTTGCTCAGCAAGCACACACTGATGAGTGCATGACAGACGCGCCTCGTGAGCGTGAGAGGGGCGAACGGCAGTAGTGAGTTGGATGCCCTGACGCCCCTTCCGCTCAGCTTCATCATCTGACATCGACAGAAGTGGAAGCAGCCAGCACGCTTTAGCATGCGCTAAGCATTTACGACGGTCACAGGCTCGAGCAGTGGTTTCGAGCTCTGTATACAAATGAAAGAGGGCAGAATATCAGTCGGTGCTTGGGTAGCACTCTTTCGAGCCGTGCAACAGTTGACGATGGCATTCAAGACCAAGCCGCTTTGAGAGCCTATATATAAATCAAGTCAAAGCACTGTGCACCTCCTGCAAAAACTGCCGTTCCCCATCTTCTCTTTCACATTCGACGACTGTCGCTGGCCGACAGACAATCTTCGCTCAACACACATTCTTCACTCTCTCTGTTGCTTCTCGACACAACATCTGCGCAGGTCGTGCCTCACGTCGCAATCATTGTTTCCCACATCCAAAAGCAGATCGGGCAAGAACTCAGCAAAAAAGACATCGGACCAGATGAAAGCTTGGTCACTCGCAGCGGTTCTCCTCTCTGTGGCCTGCACGATAGTCAAAAGTGCACCGATTTGGACCGCCGCAGATCTTGTCATAGCTGAGTCGACTGGAAATCTGCTACCCCGTGGCGACGATGGCAGCGGCTTCATTTGTGGCGAAAACGTTCGTGGCCAGATAATCAAGCGATGGCCGTGCGATGGGAGTTTAAGAGCGATGTTCTTGTCAAGACGTCTAAGAAAGGGCCAGAGAAATACGTCACACAGTGCGATGTGAGTGCTCTACATTCCTCGTGTGGCACGCGCTGTCTTACCATACCTATGACGGTCTTCGCTGCAGCACAATGTCGAGATACAGCAGGTGATTGCACTTTTGCAGCTCCACATGGATGATTTCTGCGCTCGTCCAGCTTTCAAGTTCAAGTCTAAGTCGCGAGTCCACACGCGGCCCATAGAGTTTCAAAACTTGATGCAAGCCCTGAACGATCCTAGCAACCTATACAACATCCCGACAAAGGTCAACGGCGGCAAGGGCCAGCTGATCGGCGGCAACGTTCTGGACGCAGCATCATTCACTAGAGAGGTAAGCATCAGAGACGGACGTCATCTGCGCGGTGCAATGCACGCGCAAGCTTTCTCAGGTCCAACCGTATGAGCAGAGGAAAGTGCGCTGATTCGCCGTGCTCGCGTTCCGAATTGCCACTGCAGATCAGGCTCGGTATCGCAACGTACATCGAAAAAGGAAGTGGCGACATCCCAAAGGTGACAAAGGAGATCTTCGACGCTGTCGATGCTATCCTGCCAGGTAAATTCGACCTTCAATCCTTTCAAAAACGCGTCGCAGCTGATCGGGCGCGGGCGAGAAACGCGGCTTCAAGCGCAGCGGCTACAATGACATCGACATCGACATCGGCAACCACAACCTCGACCAGTACCACATCTACGTCCGCGACGTCGATTGGCACCACGACCACCACGCCTCTCCCTACCCCGACTCGTGCAGCTTGTCCACCCCAAAGAAGAAGCTCAAAGTCAGAGGCTTCAAGCTCAGTGACTCTTCTGCGTGGAAACGCCTGCTCGGCTCGTTCGTTGACCGCCGTGCTATCGAATCTGGAAAGACGCAGCATTCGACGGCAGTCGTCGACCCTGTGTCCGATGGTGATGAGGCTTGCGAGGAAGAGCTTTCTTCGTCGCTGGGCGGCGCAGTGACCATTTCGAGCTCGACGTCAAGCAAATTGCACTCACCGTCTCCCACCGCGACGGCCTCGCACGCCCCACTTCTGAGCTCTTCGCACGCCCCGATAACTACGACCCGTCCTCTCAAGTCATCGCCACTGCCAACTGCCTCCCAGCATACGCCGACGATTAGCTCCAAGCTACCAAGCTTTTTGCCTACGTCAAAGTCTGCGCATGCATCAGGTGGTCTGCCTGTGATGAGCGCGTTCTCGCATGCTCCGTCGCCTTCAGCGGTGGCAACTAGATCTGTCTTGAATCCCTTGGCCTCCAAGAGCGCTCCTCCGATCCCCAAAGCGACCAAGACGAGCAGTCCGTTTGGATTTGGTCGTGGGGGACTTGGGTTTGGTCGTGGAGGGAAGGGAGGCAAGGCAGGCAAGCGCATTTAGACGAGCTCGACGAACTGCGAGAAGCTTGTGATCGTTTCTGGTCGCTGATGGGACCTCCTGATTGCTGTGCGTGGCGTTGTACAACCACAATCAACGATTTCAGATCCATAGGAGCAGAATTGACATTCACGCTGGTCGTGATCCGTCACTTAGGGCCTCCTGGCAGCGCTCCCTCCGCTCCGTGTTTTGAAATGCTGTTGTAATGGCATTACATCCACTCCTTTATCCACGTGGCGTCTCGCGTCTAAAATGTGTTGGGCGTCGAGCAACAGTTGTGAGTCGTTGATGATTTTGAGAGCGGTTTGCTAGACTCCCGCCGCGTCGCCAACCAGGACTCAAATTCACATTCGCTACAAGAGCGGTTTGCTAGACTCCCGCCGCGTCGCCAACCAGGACTCAAATTCACATTCGCTACAGACCATGCTGCCTCCCGTGTGGTCAGCCAAGCAGCCCGGCAGACCACCCAATATTGTCCTGCGCAGCCGGGGGGAAATGAGCGACGCCCCGAATGGATCTGACCGGTGCGCGGATGTTGCGACCAGCAGCGTGCTGGCTATTGCTCGCACTGCCAGACGCCTTGCTGTCTCTCAGCAGACCGCCTATGTACTAGCTGCTCTTGGTCTCTTGACCTGTAGCAATCAGCGGATTTTGCAACGTGCGCGGTGGATCACGAGTTCAGCAAAGCAAGCTGAACCCTGCTGCTCTGTAGGAGCTCGTGTCAGGGTCTCACTCAAGTCCGCGCGCATCCCCGCTCTCAGCAAGGGGCGAAAAGTCCGCTAACGGGACTTTCTTTCTTTCGCTTATTTGTTACAACGTACTCTGACTGTGACTGTCGGTCGTCGGTGCTTGGTTGCCCGATGCGCATGAGCAAGGCGCCGTCTGCCGTTCGCTGTTTAATGAGGATGCGGAACCAGTTCTGATCGTAGATTCATGATTGTGGCTTGGGACGCCATCGCCGCTCGCCTGCCTGCTGTGTGCTGCTGGGTGGAACACTTTGGTGGGCGGCTCTTCGTTTGTCGGCTCTGGCTGTACTCGGCGCGGGAAGGTGCCTGCATCATGCGCGCACGAAGTGGTGACTGCATGAGCCTGCCTTCGTGCTGTGGTGCCACAGTATGCAGCGCGACCTTCCTGCGCGGTGCTGCAGACTCCTGAGAGGCGCATCGAGCGAGCGACCGCCCTTCGCGAGGGACGAATCGTTTGATGTTCTTCAACAACGTTTGTTGCGTGCGCACTCCCAAGCCGGTGGGCTACTTGTCGCCAAACTTGATCGTGGATCGCGAACCAACTCCTTCAGAGCGGTCATTCACGATTCAAGCAGCCACAGCCAGCTCGGAATTTACGCTTGGGACATGGCGGGCTGCATCAGACCAATATAGGCATCATCTCTCAACCGAACAGAAGGCAAGGCTTTGCATTCAGATTAACCCTAAGACGAGACCCTGCTTTCCAACGCCACTCGGCAAAAAGGATGATGCAGAAACGCAGCGCGCAGGTGCCGGGAGCGCATCCTTACAAGGGACCCAAGGCAGATCTCCCACATTCACGATTGTGATATGGGTGTCAAGAGCGAGAGCTGAGGTGACTGTGGCCGCGCTACTCGACACGGTGAGCGCTCCTCCGATGCTCGTGAATGACGCTCGTTGCGTAAGCGGTGACGTTCCGTTGGTGAGTGAAACACGATCTGGAACGCGAGCCATGCACGATTGGGATCCCGTCCTCCCGATTTGGCGCCGCGGGAAGCGCCTTGCAGATTTTGCCCCGCAAGTTGAGCCGCCTCGTGCCTGGTCGCTGGCCTCGCCCTCCGTGCTAGTAGTACGAGAAGGTGCTTCCAGATCGCCAATGTGTTCTCGACTAGAACAACAGTCGACTTGGACGCTGTCTCTGTTTTGCCTTCATTTGATACTCGACGCAACATGTCGGAAAGTCTTTGGGGGTTGTGGGAAGGTTCCCTCTCCCGGAAATGCGACAATGCGCAAAGGGTATAAAGCCCTCGTCAGGGGGCATCGCTGCTACCTCCTTTTGCACTCGCTCTGCAATCTAGTACCATCCTAGAAGTCTCGCCTGGAAATCCCCAATTTTCGCTCGCCACCTTCGCCATGCTTGCAACCCAAATCGTCCGGCAGGCGCATCTCGCCATCCTGGTGGCTCTTACCACCCTGGCGCTGTCCGAGAATGTCCACGCCCTCCCTGAACAGGAGGCGCTAGCCGAGCGAGCAATTGGCGGTAGATCTTCTAAGACCTACACTTTCACTCAGCGGGCCTGTACGACGCTGCTCGGCTCCAAGGCCGTCAGACCAGTCCCTACGGCTACGACAACGAAGCTCAGCGTGACTGTTGGGTTCCCAATCTTCGAGTACGCGAAGCCGACCATCACCGTGACGCCTGCAGCGACAACCACGGTGAGTCTGCGCGCTTTTCGACTCGTGCGAGCGAGGTCTTTTTCAAACATACATTTCTTTTCTTGCTCTCGGCGTAGACTACCACGTCTACCGTTACGTCGACTTCAACCGTCAACAATCCCGCCAACACTGACACGTGAGTCATCATCTCACAGCGGGCGTCCTTGGCGAGGTTCGCAGCTAAGCTCACACTGTGGCCTCTCACCTTCATGCAGCGCAACGGAAACCGATACGATTACAACCACTACGACGGTTACAGAGACCTCGACAACCCAGACACAGCTACCCGAAGTAACGATCACGACGACCGTTACTCCGACCACTACCCTCGTTCTTCCCAACTTCACGCCTGCTGCGAGTGCACCCGGTCTCCAGGGCCACACGTACGCGCGTCGCGGTCTAGGGCAGCTGGAAGCGGCTAGGCCCCGCATACCTAGAGCGTTGTCTGGCTCCAGTCGCGCAGAGTCGCTGAATGAACTTGCCGCGCGTGCCACGGGTCAGAGCCTGCAACTGGGCCCTAACAACACCCTTCAGTACAGCAACAAGAAGAAATGCTACCCTCAGTCTGTCAAGTGCAAGAAAGCGATAGAGAAGGTGGCGGTCACAACGTACACCGTCGCAGGCAAGCGCACCGTGACGCGAGCAGCGCCCACTCCTACTTCGACCAGTGAGGTCACCACAACAGTCACATCTACCACAACTATTCAGCCCAGCGATGCTACTACCACAGTGACTGTCACAACTACCAACACCCAGACCAGCACCACGTCCACCACGACGACGGAGACGTTGCCCGCAACTACCAAGACCGAGACTGCTCAGGCGCCATTAGTCACAGTCAATGCGGCCTGCCAAGCCAACAACCTCATTAGATCAGTCGACAACGTGAACATAGGTCAGGTAGACGTCAACCCAGGTAGCGACCTTGACTATTCAGGCGGTGCAACCGCGAGCAGCCCTGAAGCGTGTTGCGCTGCATGTGCGTCGAGTGCGACGTGCCAAACCTTTGCGCATTTGGACGACAATTGCTACATGTTCAAATCGAGAGATGGGAGATGCTCGGCAAATGAAAGTGGATCGCTGTACTACACAAACCAAAATAGTCCTGGATTGCTCACGGTGGGAAATGGGCCTTGTGGATATGCAAACTTTGGCGGTCGGCAGGCTTGAAGTTGACAAGCATCTGCTTGTCCTCCTCTTCGCCTCCGCACAACGTCACTCGGTCGGGTCGGGTCGATTCGCACCTTTCTCGTGTTCTTGCAACCTCCATTCTCCCGCCCTCTTTTCGCCCGTCACCAGCATTTGCCTTCATCTGCATTCATTACTGTACCCCTCTTCTGTTCCTTGCTCGAGTCCTCGCGTCAGATCCCTTGTTCGCCTCCTCGACCTTTCGCGACACCCCAGCTCAAACATCCTCACGAACATCGCAGTCCAATGTATCCCCGGCACTTGCAAATTGGGGCCCTCCCACCAATGCAATCGTCATATTTCAACGCGAGTCTGTCTTGTCCGAGAACTAGTGCAATAATCGAGAGTCATTGGCACCGCGCTCACGATGTGGAGAGTGGGATGCACGAGCGTCTCGGAGGGCGCATCCATCGCCCCCATGCCGTGTCTGTGCGAGTGGATGAAGCTGTCCCCACTTCCCGTTGCTCGTTGTAGTTGGCGAGCGTCGGGCTTGCGCCGCGAGTGAGGTCGCGCAGCCGGAGTGCATTGGTGACACTCTGACCACTGTCCATGAGTTCTAAGCGGAGCGAGATCGGACGCTTTGGAAGATGCGTGCACGAAGAGACGAGGCCACCTACCCCAGATTGCCCCCCTGCCCCCCTTGGGCTCATTCCATCGCCTCGACCCTTTAGACATAGCTGATCGAAGGCCCCTCGGGAGCCATCGGGACCGTCCTCGGCCCGATGGTGAGCGCACATGGGGTAGGTCGGTGTGACGGAACTACCGATTGTGGGTGGACGTCAAAGTCACATACATCAGTGTATCTCCATCTGAACGGCTGGACGGCCCTTTTGGAAGAGCGACTTCTGCAGAGAAGCTGCAAGGCACGAGCGAGCTTGCACAGGGGTCTCGGGGGCAGAATAAGGAGGTGGCAAGCCACGCGGGAGCGACGTGCAGGATTGGTGAATCCCCACTGAGTGACTCACAACTGGCACGCGCGCCTGCGAGTCTGACGGCATTATGCACCGGTACCTACAGGATCTAGAACTTGGTGGCTGGCATGGACATATCGCAGCCAGCCTCATGGATTGCGGGCTCGTGCGCTCTACTGTAATGCTGTTACGATTCCAGTCACGAGATTTCTAGTGCAAGTGCTAGTAAGGGCAAGCCTTGACCTCGGATGGGCTGCTAAAACCGGATAAATCGTTCAAGTGCTAATCCTCAAAGTGGTTTCGCTGGCGGGGCAACCAAACTCCGCCCTGCATGAATGGTGGAGCGGGATGGAGAGCGGTTGGCCCGCCGCGGGCTCGCGTGTGGCTTTTCACAAATCAAGATTCACGATTGGCCGGGGAAAGTTCTATCACGCGCGACGTTCAGCATGCCGAGGGAGCGGGAGCGCGAGGCGCGAGTAGCAGATTGGATCTCCTACAACAGGAAGCGACTCTAATATTAGCTAACCAATAGACGGGACGCCCATGGCGTTCCCGATGCGCCGAATGACCGCCAGTGCATAGCGATACATGCAAGCAGGCGCCATGGCGTGCAAAGTCCAAACAAAGTCCGCTCGAGAGAGCCCTACAGATCGCCAATCGTCCGCCATCCACGCCCTGCAGCGGCGCTTTGGCCATCGACTCTGGTGTACCGCTCTGTTGGCAAGTCTGAAGGTCGCAATGCAGCTCGAACCTGCCAGGCAGCTTCTCCGCGCCCGATCTGAAGTTGCTTTGGGGGATGACGGTCCAGTCGGTGGGGCCATAAAAAGGCTCACTGTGGGAACATCCGACGACCTTGCCGCTCGTCGGGTCCCCTTCACCTTCTTCACCGCACGCGCGCCCTGTTACCCGGTCACCCGAATCGTGATTCCTACAAAAACATCGCAATGCATTTCCAGCACGTTGCACAGCTCGCGGTCTTGGCCATCCTCGGCTTGCCTCAGCTCGTAGAAGCACGACTGGAATCTCAAGCGCTCGCTCCTCGCAGCATTGGCGGCAAGTCAGTCAACACGTACACCTACTCGCAACAAGCATGCTACACAGAGTACGGCAAGAAGAGCGTCAAGCCTGTGCCAAGGTCGACGGCTACCAAGTACAGCGTGACGGTAGGCTTTCCAATCTATGAGACAGTCAAGCCTACGATCACGGTGACGCCAGCTACTTCCACTAACGTGTGTGCCTGTGATGGTACCGTGTCTGTCAGAAAGCGCAATGCTGACCATACCTCTTTGCATGCCAGACCGCCACCTCCACCACCACATTCACGGTGTTGACGACTGCAGTGGATAAGACCGATACGTGAGTCGTGCTCGGAAGATTGGAACAGGTGGTCCTCATGAGCTTACTCACTCACCACACCTATTGGTGCCCTACAGTGCTACGCAGACGGACACTGTCACCACTACGACTACCATAACCACTACATCCACAACGCAGACGCAGCTACCCGAGGTGACCACTACTACGACGGTATACACTACCACTACTGTTGCGGCGCCAGCGGGCTTCACACCCGTTCGGGATGATTCCAGCTTACAGGGACGCACCGTAGCTCGACGAGACTCGGTCGAGCCTGAAGCAGGCAGCGCAAACGTAGCCAGGTCCTCTTCCGGCACCAGCCGAATCGAGCTGCAAAATCAGCTGCTGGCTCGCGCAAAAGCAGACGTGTACAGCGTAGCCAAAGATAAAGACGGCAAGCTTGTGAATCTGTGCAACGGCAAGAAGACCTATCCCTCCAAGGTGGCGTGCAAAAAGGCTGTGGAAAAGGTCGCAGTGACGACGTACACTGTTGCTGGGAAAAAGACTGTGACTAGATCCGCACCCACACCGATTGCGACGACGACTACGCTGCAGAGTGTTACGTCGACGTCGACGGTGCAGCCAGCTGCTGCTACGACGACCGTCACTACCACCACTACAAGCACTCGATCCGTCACCACGACGGCAACGACTACCGAGACGCTTGCAGCTGCGACCAAGACGGAGACGGAACAAGCTCCGCAATTCACGGCTTACGAAGCTTGCGAGATGCCCAGAAATTACGTCAGCAGCGTCGATGGACTAGCGATTCAAGACTTTAGAGCAAAGACACCTCTGGGATCGAAGGATTCTTTTTCTGCCAAGGAGTGCTGCATTTCCTGCGTCACGGATTGGAGATGCGGCGCGTGGCTGTATAAACCTAGTCAAATTTTGTGCCAGCACTATGGCGAAGCGCGGCCACGCAGGTGCGACGTGGGTCTCAACGTGGCCATCTTCGCAGGCGGTGCTGGCCCTGGAGAAGGATACACCGTTGGAAATGGACACTGCGGGTATGCAAAATACAATGCGCCCGGCGACACTTCAGGGTTCAGAAACTAGCAGGTTCCGGAGAGTAACAGGGCGCAACAGACCTTCGACGCGTTTTGCGCCTCCGCTCGCACACCGTCCCTAGTCATTTCTCTCCGCCGCTGCATCTTCCATCGAGATGCTTGCCCACTATGCCCTTTCGATGCGCAAGCCTCGTCGCCCCATGTTGAGGCATCGCGAAAATCCACCTCCTTGTAACATCCGGTCGTTCGATCCAGCAGTCACGAGCATTTGCAATGGTCATCCTAGTCCGACTTTCACATATGCACGGGGCAGCGGTGGGGGTTGCAAGTATCATTTGCTTTGCACTTGCCCAAGCAGGGGTGTCGTGCTTGTCGAACTTGAAAGAGATGACTAGTTCAATCAAAGAGATCGAGTGGGGCAAGTCCGAGGTCGGTCGCTCCCCGCCGCGCCAAAAGACTCGCAAACACGTCGGCGCGGGCAATGGAGAAGTACCATGTCGAGCCCGCACGTCTTCCCCCCCC